AGCCCTAGCGGAGTCCGTAACAGTTCCAGTAGTCCTCTTGAAATGACTGTATCTCAGCCTACAACACCCGGGTTTTCGAGCGTCCTCGGCCGACCTCTGGAAGGACCCTTGAAGGACCCTTGATTTTCAAGAGGTGTCACAAACACGTCTCCGAAGAAAACAAAGCGTATGTTTGTCTTTTACAGATATCTTCGTTCAAAAGTGTTGTGTAGCGAAGGGCCAAAAACACGTGTAAACACAGTTTAACACACCTCCTTAAAAAGTCTGGCAGCTGTCCTTCGGGACATTCGTTAAAATTGGAACGATACGGAGAAGGTTAGCATGGCCCCCTGCGCAAGGATGACACACATAAATTGAGAAATGGTCCAAAATTTTCAAAAGAAGTTAAAAAAAGTCTGACAGCTCTTGAAACATTTTCAGGTGGCAAGAGTCAGTGGTCCTGGAAGTTATGTTTCTGTTGCGCACTTCTTTTTCAGGTTCTTGATTGCTGTTTCCATCGGGTCTGTGTGATGTGGAAAGACTTCTATTTTAAGGGCACTCGGTTTGTGAAGGTTATGTTCTCATGTGGAATCGTTCCTCGCCATTGCAAGCAAGGCTGTAGTAATGCACTTATGGAATAGACGCACACTTCCAGAGTCCGTCTTCCTCACATCACAACATACTAGACTGGCCAGAATGAAACTGCGAGGTTTCCTTTGTGCCACTACGGTTTCCTTTGACAAGGCCTGTGCAACCCTCTTGTGATACCTAATCAGACACTGTTTGGCTATCTCAAAACAAACGATCATGGTGCCAACCTCCTGCGTATGCAATCTACTGTCCCCATGTGTGTGTGTGTGTGTGTGTGTGTGTGTGTGTGTGTGTGTGTGTGTGTGTGTGTGTGTGTGTGTTTGCGCGCACACACATTGACATGAGTCTGTTCATGTGTGTGGGGGGGGGGAGGGCGGGGGGGGTGCATGCATTTGTGTGTGTTCCAGGCCCCTTGATTCTAGACTGCAAGCCCTTTTCTATTTGGGGTTGTGGACATGAGTGCAGCACAGCTGGGTGAGAAGGGCAAAGGAGGCTCAGCAATTTTGCTACTGGATTGAGGTTTCGATTGTTGGTTTCTATGAGCAATGCCTCTCTTCATGTTATTGTGTGTTTCTGGAAGGTCAATGTGCATGTGCCCTTCAATAATTTTAATGTCACCGTCTCTCTTGTTGCTGTCATTATTTGGAATGTGCTGTGTATTTGTGGCGCAGTGATATTATACAGATCAACTGAAGATGAGCGGTGTCCTCCTCAACCAGGATATGTGCGCGCGCATCTTGAGAGTAAACCTCGCCACCTATGTTGCAATGTTCTCAACTTTCTTTGTTGTCGTTTTTCGGTTCTGCCAGAATCTTGTCTGTTGGATAGTCCTTCACTCGTAATGATCCAGTCCAAGATACCACTTCTCCCTGGAATTGGATCTGGAGATGATGAAGTGGCTTACCTCACCATCAATCCTCCTGCTAAACTAATCCCATGAAAATGCGAACCCTGTTCACCTCTGGAGAGAAGGGAAAGATGGATCGCAACATGAAAATGTTGACATCAGAAAAATAGTAAAATACAGTGAACAGATTGTGCGATTCACGGTTCTGAGAAGCAGGTCAATACTGGAGAGGGAGGAAAGATGGACCGCAGTTTGAAATTTTAAAATGAAATTAGAGATCGAGCTTTGCTCTCGTTTGAAAGAAACAAAGAATGGGACACTTAGGGCCTCACCCCACCACTCTCGAAATGTGAAAAAGACGAAGATGTGGCGGGTGTGTCTGGCCATGTTCTAGCAGGTAGTTCACTCTCATGTTGCACATTTCGAGAGAGGTGTGGCGATGCCCTTGTTTCCTTATCGGAGATCAATATGGTTGAATGCAGGTGTTATGATTCTGGTTGTCTGTTGTCTGAAGACCAACACTCGCTCACATAGACTCCCAGGTATGCCCATACATACACAGAAGGAAGGGGAGAGGATAGGAGTATCACACCACACAGGGAGAGATAAACACTGCGGAAGACTTGACCATGCGATATGACAGGGTACACTGAAAGTGCAATTCACTCTACTCAATCCTCACAACCAGTCATAAAGGAAAGCCGAGTAGATCACATCCAAGAAACAATGAAACAATGATAGTCCAAACCCAGTATCACACTGTTTATTACACTCAAGAGTCTCGAATTGTCCGAATAACCACAGAACTACAGTGCGCTGCGCAGAAATGAGCAGCGGGTAACCACTCACCACACCCCTGAGTCCCTGAAACATAATGCGCCACCCAATTACTGCCTCCAGAGGGCAGCGCCACCCTGAAACAGGCCTCTGAGGCCAAGTGCCACTCAGAGGATGAAGAAGAAGACCAGCGCCACAGTATCTGATGATGACGAAGTGTCAGAAGACTTCCCGGGTGGAAGTCTGCAGCAGAGCCGCCACTCCTGACAAGATGACCTCTGAGGAAGAAGCTGCAGCGCCACAACCCTGTAACCCTACTCCGGAGGAGGGTCTAGCAGGGCACCAACTTCTCTTGCCTCCAGCAGACCTCGAATAACCCAGACCTCTGTACAGCCCCGCGTGCTGACAGAGTCAGCACAGGTCCCAGCTATGGCCGGCGCTCCAAAGGTCTGGCTTTTTGGCAGTTCTGGTTGTCTGTTGTCTGAAGACCAACACTCACTCACATAGACTCCCAGAATCATAACATAGGGGTCAGATTTTGTTTATTCATTATTTAATGCATCACTTAGTCAGTCTATCAGTCAATCTGCAAGGAAGATGAGCAATAGCGAACTTCAGCAATCAAACAGCATCATACATATGAGTCCAGATAGTCTTGACCTCGAACCAACAGCAGAATTGCATCACGA